CCAGGCCCTCTGGGCTGCTCCCTGCTCACCCTGTGCTGCCCCATGACCTGAGATCCCAGGCAGGCTGAGGTCTTGCTGTTGCTTTCCCACCCTGGTGGCTCTGTCCCCTTCCCACGAGCCTGGCTGCTCTGTCCCCAGCACTTTGTGTATCCCTGTGTCTCTCCTGGGCAGCTCAGTGTCCTCGTCAGGCACTGAGAGCTCAGATCAGTCTCCTGGGCATAGGGAAAGAACAGAAGGATGACATGCTGTCACTGCAGGCCCCCAGCCTGTAATAATTAACATCGACAGGTAATAATTAGCATTGACTCCATGATTGCAGAAGGCTGATCAATCACTTTACTGTCCTATCTTATTAAGAAACCCATCGCCCTTACCAACAGTCATGATACAGGCGGACCCACTGGTCCTTCAATCCAAACATCATCACCAGAGGCCAATTAATAAATCACCTTTTGATAAACAAATCTCCATGGCACATTCCACATGTGCATAACAACAGGTGCAGCAAGTGAAGATAAGAATTGTTTCTCATTCTTTTCTTTGATCTTTTCACAACCTTCCCCAGGACAATGCCTGGGACTGTCTGTGCCTCTCTCTGTGGCCAGGGAGCTGCTGCCACAACAGGCACTGCTCTCTGTTGTGTTTGCAGACCCTGAAAGCCATGGACACAATGCTGAGGACAGTGGTGCTCAGCTTTCCTGCCTCCAGCGTCAGCAAGGAGCTGCAGGACATCTTTGAGGTGTGGCACAAGCAGAGTGGGAGTTCTGGGGGGTTCTGGGGCTGGTCCTCACCCTGGAGGGGACGAGTTGCCCAGTCCAGTGCAGAGCATGGTGTGGGGAGGGGAAGCAGGGGCTGGCACCAGGCTCCTCTGAAGCACAGTGGCTGCAGAAGGTGGCACCTGCCTGGCCAAAAAGTTGTCCTGGGACTTTTGTCCAGGATTGTAAGGGACCCCAGGGACAGGCAGCCCACTGCAGGTTTGTGTGAGGCCAGAGGAAGCCATGAGGGATGGGACAAGTCTGGCGCAGGAGCAGAGCTGTGTTTGCTCTGAGTGCTCACCAGCAGTTTCTCTCACCCCAGTTGTTGCTGGACTACACCAGATCCAAGAGAGAAGCTGTGAGGGAGAGGGCTATGGGGAGGATTTGTGTCCTGACCAGTTTGCTGTCCAGGTATTCCACTCTGAAGGTAAGGACCACGCACCCTCCAACCAGCCCATGCCCCCCCTCCCTGCCACTCTCCATGCCAGGGCTGCTGCCCAGCTGGTTGCTCCAAGAGATGGGTCCATGGAACCCTGCAAAGCCCAGATTCACCAGGAATCCAGCCCTGGGCACACTCTTGGGTACAGGTTCAGCACCAACACCCTTCTCTTAGCCCTTCTTCTCATGCCTCCCTCATCCAGCCCTCTGTCAACTTTGGAAGAGACAGTTCTGGGCCTGTGTGCCCTGCAGACATCTCAGTCCCAGCCACGGGAAGGCTGGTGGGACGTCTCATTATTTTCCGCTATTCCGAGGAACAAACAAGATATACAGCTTTCCAGGCTCTCTCTTCCCTCGCTGAATTCCTCTGTAAGTAAAAAAGCAAGAGCAGCTGTGGCCTTCATCCCTCTGCACACAGACCTCTCTTGACAGATCTGCTTCCTGACCCTCCCAGCTGCCTCCCGTAGCATCCCAGCTGTCGCTTTGCTGCACAAGCTCAAGTCCAGGACCTGTGTTTTACCCTGCTGGTTTGTGGCCCCCACAGCCAAAGCCCATTTGACTCCCAGGTCCCAAAGGCCATTCTTCCCCATTAGAGAAGAGCAAATCCACCACCCTGGCTGGTGCCTCTTGCCTACAGCAAGAAGCTATTCCTGATATTGCTGATATTTCTGGGAGAAATCCCAGAAATCCTGACTGATTCTGTCCTGCTGTCTTGCAAGCAGATCTCAGGGTGGCTTGATGACCTTGCTGGCAAAGCAGCTCTGTCCTACTGACTATTCTGTGTTTGCCCTGCTGTTTAGACAAGTCAAGGCCAAGGGATGGGTCAGACGAATTCTATTGGGAAGCTGTGAGCACCTCCTCACTGTGTTACCTGAGCATTGCAGAGTGTACCCAGGTAATGACCCCCCTCCTTGCTGGGACTTTGTCCATGGCATCAGCAGGGCACTTATGTGAGCAAAGAGACCCAGAATCGGTGGGGCTGGTGGGGTCTCACTGCCCTGGCAAGAAGGTTCCTGGCATCCCTGAGCAGGGACAACACATGGGCTGCACTCTGGTGTCCTGGCAGCAGCTCCAGCCTCAGCAGGCGATCCTGGCCCCCAGCAAGCCCCTAGTTCTCTGTAGGGCCAGCCATGAGCCCTCCTCCCTGACGTGGAGGACCCTCTCTGCTCACCCTCTGCCCCGCAGGGACTGCAGGCACTACTGCCAGCTGTCCTGTGGGGTCTGCTGCCAGCACTGCCAGGAACCTCTGCCCAGCCAAGCAGCACCTCAGGGCACTCAGTGGCACGTGTCTTTCTTCCTGCTGTAGACCTTTGGAAAATACCTCCACTCTAGCGAGAGGACAGATGTCGTCCTCGAGGCCATCGAGGCGGTGAGAGACACCAGCATCCTTGACAAGGAGGTGCCCAGCAGCATGCTGGATGTGGTCATGAAAGACCCGGACTTCTGGCTGACAGATGTAAGTGCCCTGGGGCTGGATTGCCCTGATCTTCAGCCCTGTCAGGCTTTGTTCCTCCCTCCATCCCTTCCTCACAAACCCAGGTGACTTGGGCACCTGAAGGCACCCAAAGGTGGCAGAGAGGAATGAGAAGGGCAGCTGAGGACATGGCTGCACTCCAGTGGCAGCGCCATCCTCACCTGTATCCTTTCCAGGTGCCCAAGGTAGTGAACTGCATTTTTGAGAACCTGCTATGCATCTCCACGGAGTCAGGCCGTGCCAAAGTGCAGTCACTGCTTCTCCTGATGACCAGCGAGTACTCCTCGGCAGTGGTCATCAGCCTGTGCAAGATGGCTCTTCAAGGAGACAGGTACTGGCCCTGACCATCTGAGGGGCTTGCTCCATGTGGAGAGAGGGACCCCGAGACTGTGGCTGCCAGATCCAAGGAGTGCTGCAGGACATCCCACGGAGCCAGGCTCTCCATCCCACAAACCTCTCCAGCTCTCTTGGTGGGCTCGCAGCAGCCAAAGCTGACCAAACCACTCCAGAGGCAGCTTGGTGCCCCCAGCCCCACAGAGAACTGCCCCTCAGCCCTGACCTGCCTCCTGTAGGACCCTGGGGACCCCCAGCACGGGCTCTGCTCTGTGGGGCTGGTCCTGGCCATGGCGCTGTGGCTGAGGCAGCCCCCTGGCTTCCAGCACTTTCCAGGAGCTGTGTGACACTCTGTCCTCCGCGCCCAGCGTTTTGGACAAGGTCCTAACCGAGTTTGCTACCTTGCTGCTGAGCCAGTGGAGCAACCCTCTCGGAGAAGGCGGCCACACCTCTCACGGAGCTGTGAGTTACCAGGAGAGGCCCCAGCCCCTCTCTGTGAGCCCTCTGGCAGCTCCTCACGGCTGTGTTTGCTCCTCCAGCCATCCTTGGGGCAGGTTGACTTGGAGGAGTTGGGTGACGAGCCCGACGCCTGGGACGATCCCGGGCGTCCCCATGGGATGTTGGTCTTCCTGCTGCTGGAAGCCCTCGTTGGGCTGTCAGAGAGAATTGACGTGGTGAGCAGGGTGTGGCAAGCACATTTCTCTCCCTCTCGGGGTTTTCCATAGAGGTGCACAGGGAGAAATGTGCTTGCCACAAGCAGGGTGGTATGGGGGCAGCCAGGGCTTGGGGTTGAGTGGCAGTGGCTTGGCCTGGGCTGGGAGTCAGCATGTGGGCTGACTGCTCCAAAAACCATCCCAGCCATGGTGGGGCCCGGGGTGGCTGCCCTGGGAAGCCTCCAGACATCATATTTTTAAAAAAATGGAAACTCTCTTCTTCATAAAGTCAATAAAATTTGAAGCCTTCCTGCCAAGCATGATGAAGATACTGGAAGCTGGCAGTGAAGATGAGAAGATGAAGATCATTGAGGTCTTCCGAAACGTCCTGGAGCATCTGAAAAAGTCAAAGGCCAGCTCCATCGCTGTGGCACTGGTGGAGAAGATCCTGCCCCTCTTTGACTCGGTGAGGATGCTGTGGGAGCCCGAGCCCTGCAGAAAGCAGCACTTGGAGCAGGCTCAGCCCTCCAGGGATGGATTTTGGGTGCTGCTTGTGCCCGCTCTGGAATGTGCCCCCGGAGCGTGGCCCTCACCGCAGGCACGGGCAGGGAGCTGCTGCTTCAGGGCTGCCCTTTCCCCCTCCTGGCAGGAGCACGGCCGGCTGCGAGAGCTCTCCCTCTGGCTCCTCAGGGACCTGCTGAGGTCCGTGGTGAGGAGGGATGAGAAGAAGATGAGGAGGCAGATGCGGGGCGCTCTGATTCCGCTCCTCTTCCGTGTCAGCGACCAGCTCCCCAGCGTGGCCAGGGTATGGATTTGGAGGTTGAGCACTGGTGTGGGGGGATTGACTCCCCCCAGGGATTCTGGGCACTGGGGTAAGGGCTGCTGACATTGGGCAGGGCTCCCCCAGTGCAGCCCCTGGGAAGGGGAAGCAGCACAAGCAGGGCTGGACAAGGTGGCTCAGCCATTTTCAACACCTGTCCTGCCTGCTCCAGCAGGGCTTGGCAGCAGCCTGTGGCCACTGAGGCAGCATCCAAGGCTGGAAAACGTGGCTCCAGAAGCCCAGAGGCTTCTCAGCTTCCCCACAAGTGTCAGGGCTTCAAGCCTCAGTCAGTCACCCAGGGCTGGCCCCAAGAGACTCCAAGACATTCGGGCTAGGACAAGTCACAGCTTCCAAAGGGTGGGATCACCACAGGAATAAAGCCAAGAGGTCCTTTTCCCCAGGCTCTGGTGCCACCTCTGAGCTAACGCTGTTCTGCAGGCTTCCAGGGAAGCCCTTTTTGCTACTGCAGAGCTTCTCCAATGGACGCAGCTCAAGCACCTGCTGCAGAAAGAGCGGATGTGGGAGCTTGGAGAATGCTTGGTAAGGACAAGCCACAGGGCCCAGGCTGTCCCTGCCCCGTGTCTGTCCCCATGAGAGCCCAGGGGAGCAGAGGCTGCTGGAGGGCTGGGCAGGACCTGGAGGAGCTTGTTCCTGGCCTCGAGAACAGAGCCCCAGAGGCTCCTCTCCAGGCCCCTCTCGCCTTGCTGTGTCCAGCGGGAGGGAGGGCTCAGCGGTGAGGGATGCTGGCAGGAGTGAGCCCAGCCAGCTGGGGAGCTCTGTGACAAACCTGGAGACATCCCTGGTGCTCCCTGCAGCTCATGAGGAGGAGGATCAGTGCTGAAGAGTTCATGCATCAGAGCCTGCCCTACCTGAGGGACTCTCAGTCCTCGGTGCGCCTGGCGGCCGTCAGGTTCATCAGTGAGTCACTTTTGGGCCAGCCTGGCCACCTCCCTGCACTGCAGTGGCAACAACCCTGTGGCTACCCCAGCCTTTGAGCCTCAGCCTCCCTCTGTCCCCTGCCTCGAGCTTGGTGGCCACCTTGCCCAGTCCCTGCTGGTGGCCCCTGGGTCAGTGGGAGTGGGAGGGTGGCAGGGCTGGGGCTCACCCTGCTGGGATCACGCTGGGAGCAGGGAATGACAGAGCTCTGTGCCCAGGGTGCGCCACGAGGCACATCAGGGAGCAGGATTTGGAGACTCAGGCTCACATCCTCAGTGGTGAGTGGGCTGTGGGGAATCTGGGGTGGGGGGGCTGTGCAGGCACAGAGCTTCATCTTGGCTCTGTTTCTTTGGGTCACAGCCCTTCAGCCCTTAGAGGGAGACAGGGATATCTCAATCAGCTCCGTGGCAACGCAGACGGGCATGATCCTGAGAGCTCCAAGGGTGCAGAGAAGAAGATGGTGCATCATTCTACAAGCTCTGTGCTGCTGGTGCTGGTGAGCTCAGCGGAGCTGCAGCTTTCTGTGCATTAATAAAATGGAGAAACACATCCAAGCCTTCGGTATCCTTCAGATGTGTAGTGCCCTGAGTGTGCTGAGCAGACTGTGTCCATCTTGGCCTGCCCCACCAGCAGTGGGATGCTTCCTCCTCGTGCCCCTGCCATCTCAAAATGTCCCCAAAATTGCAGGCACAGGGCCACAGATTTTGTGCAGAGGGTCTCAAATTGCACCGCTGGTACCCCAGAATGTTCTCGTGGACCTTGAATTGTATCTGCAGAGCCCCACAGTGTCCTTGGCAGACTTCAAATTCTGTTCCATGTATTTCAAAATGCCTCACTGAGTCCTGGAGTGCAGCTGTGGGGCCCCAAATGGTCTCTGGCAGCCCCACTAGGTCTGGAATCAGGAGGGAATGCTCAGCCCTGAGTGGACCTCAGCAGCCCAGAGCTCCTGGGGAGTGCCAGGGGCTTGAAGCTGGAAAGGAGTGAAGCATTCTGTTTTAAATGTGGCATCTCTTTGTTTTCCACCAAATCGAGCCTCATCTACACGTTCTGGGGAAAGCCTCCAGCTCTCCACCACACATCCCGAACAGTGAGCAGGTGATGCCATCCCCAGGCACTGGGAAAAACAGCAGAGGAGAAGAAGAGCGAGAAGGGGTTGTGCAGCCAGGTGAGGAACCAGCGTGCTCCTGCCCTGGCTTTGTTCAGAGGGGCAGAACGTGTGCAGGCTGCGGGGTTTGGGGTCTTTGCACCAAAAACCTCCCAAATCATCGGGATAAAATCTCCCTCTAATACTGTCTTTGAGCATTAGAGAGGAAAGTGTCGCTTTATTTTTGGCCAACAGAGGTGGCCGACAAGTTCTGGCCTCCTCACTGATGCCAATACAGAACTTTTCCACTTATTTATACATTTTTAGCAAAAAAAAA